ACTATATAGCAAAACTGGTTTATCAGGGCCTTGAAAACCCGTAGCTTGGTCCTTCTGCACAGGTACCGACATCTCCAAATTCTTGTTGAGAGAGTTCATGACCCCTGTTGCCAGGCCAATCCGTCTGCTGACTTCCTGGTCTGACAGCCCAGAGTTATGAACTACACTACCAAGGTATGTAAAGCTCTCTGTGACTTCAATGTCTCGCCGCAAGCACGTAGACTGAACAGGTTCTCCTTACAACTCCCCAAATTCCTGGACCTTACCTTGGTCCAGACCTCTAGACCAAGGGTTTCACTTCATTGCTAAATGCATTCAGAGCCGCCACTAGGGTTTCCAAAGCTCAGATAGAATGGCAACGTCATCAGCAAAGTCAAGGTCTGTAACCTTGATATTGCCCAGTGTTGCTCCACAATGACCTTTAATAGTAGCTCTGCCCAGTATCCAGTCCATGCAAGTGTTGAAAAGAGTTGCTGCAAGGACACAGCCTTGCCTCACTCCTGAACTAACGGAAAGAAGCTCGACAGGCCCCACCACACTTTACAGCACTTTCAGTACCAGTATACAGGCTTGCTATTAGTCCAATAATCCTTGTTGGAATTCCTCTTAGTCTCAGGATCTCCAAAGTGACTCCCGATGCACCGTATCGAACGCCTTCTTGAGGTCGATGTAGGCTGCAAGCAGCCCACGCCGAACTCACGACGGCGCTCTACAATGACTCGAAGCGCGAGGATACGGTCTATTGTGGACCTACCAGGAGTGAATCCGGATTGTTCCAGTCTCTGGTGCCTCAGTAGATGGTCTCTGATACGTCTCAGAAGGATGTGGGCGAGAACCTTGCCTGGTATACTGAGCAGTGTGATGCCTCGGTGATTGCTGCAGTCCAACGGTCCCCCTTCCCCTTCCAGAGAGGGATGACCACACTTCAACAGGTCAGGAGGAACGATACCGGACCGCCAGATGGCAGCCAGGACAGCATGTAACCCCGTACCATAGGTTCACCACCAGTCTTTAACAGCAGCTAGTATGCTGCGGATACCTGCTGCTTTACCACTCTTCAGCTTGGAAATCGCCTCCTAACTTCAATTAGGGAGGGTGGGTCCTCACTGATGGATGGATCCGGCAGTGGGATCTCAACACTCCCGCATCCAAGTTAACTGTTGATGGGTTAACCTGGTACAACCGCTCAAAATACTCAGCCCAACGTTCCCGCACCGCAACAGGATCTGAAATGATCTGACCACTTACTGAGCGAACTGCTGTCACCTGTGAAGAGGGCTTGGAGTTCAGCTTTCTCAGGGCTTGGTATGCAGGACGAAGGTCATTTACTAAGAAATGGCCTTCTACCTCCTCTGCAAGACAAAGGTCGTCTCCAAGACAAGCAGTGCCCAATCCCCTTGCAGCGGGTTGTGTCTTTAGGTATCTCGGCCGCGCGATGTGTCAATGCTCCGTTGAAGATCATGCTGTATTTCCGCATGATGCTCTCTCTTTCACTCACTCTCTTCTCTCTCTCTCTTCTCTTCTCTCTTCTCTCTCTCTCTCTCTCTCTTCTCTTCTCTCTCTCTCTTAATAAACTGTTCCTTGTCCCTTCTTAACAGGGTTCTGCGCACATGAGAACGGTGCAATTCCCGATCCCTTGTCAGACGAGCCTCACGACATGCATCTGTGACTTCCAGTGTCTCCTGCGAGATGGATTCTGTACTGCTCTCGGGCGACCAATCGTATCTTGAGCTGCATCAAGCGTTTCACTTCAAGGTATCCTCAGAAGAACAGAGTCTGTCAGACTGTCAAGCATTGTGAAACGATCAGAGATTGCCTCAGCAAACCCGGAGGCACACTCCCCTCCCTCACCCTGTCCAAATGAAACACCTAGGGTGATCATTTGACCGCTGGGGAGTTTTGAAGTGGACTCGGAGGGTAGCCACAATCAATCTATGGTCAGTACCACAGAACTCAGCACTCCTGTACACCCTGCAATTTTGAAGGATCCTCCAACGAGTGCTAACGAGTATATGGTCGATCTCCTTGGCTGCATTAACCCGCATCACTGTACCATGTCCAACGATGTGGGTATGGTCGCTGGTACCAGGAGCCAGAGATCCTCAATTTCTGGGACCTAGCAAAGTCCCGGAAAAGGAGGCTATTCTCGCTACCGCATCACTCCTGAACCATGGGGACCGACAGACATCTCATAGCCAGCTCGATCACAGCCAGATACCGCATTGAAGTCACCCAGAACAATGCGAATATCTCGCCGGGGACATCTGTCTACCACAGATGTAAGTTTGGTGTAGAACATCTCTTTCATGTCAAGTTTACAAACATCGGTAGGAACGTACACAGCAATATGAGATGAAGCCAAAAGATAGCTTCAATCTCAATACATTATATGCTCATCAACAGGAGTAACCTCTACTACCAAGGGCTGGAGTCTGGAGATGGTAATGGCTACTTCCTGGAGATGGCGGCCGTCGCTGCGGCCCGACCAGTAATAGGTGTGGCCACCTACACAGGTCATGCCGCTGAGGCCTCCTCACCTCCGAGAGAGCAGCCACCTCAACTCTAGCCTCCCCATTTCGACAGTAGAGGCAACCGATCATCCTGACGCAAAGAACTGACGTTCCAAGCCCACCCTGACTTCCCGCCTGAGGTTCAGCCTCTGGCAGTCGTTCCGGGTGGATGCACCTCTGCCACCCCACCGACGCTGCCATATAAAAGGGGGTGGCGGGCTGTGTGCCCATCATCCACCTGTGGGGTTCCCGAGGGCTTTCCCCCCACAAGCTTCACTCTGGGCTGGCGGCTACCAGAGCGTAGGCGAGATGAGTGGTTCCCATTCCCAGCCTGCGCTCCAGCAGTCGCCCTCCCAGCAGGGCCCACAGTCCGCCTCACTTGCTAGGTGGGAGGGACTTTTCCCCTCCTCCCAGCCTTTCCATTTATTTGGAGCACTGCCGATTGGTTATATCTGAGGGGGAGGAGGACTGGCAAGGCCCACCTCCACAAGCCTCCATTAACCCCAGGGGGCTTGGGGGCAGGAGTTGGTACAGGGCCAGGGCGTGTCCACACGCCAGTGGGCCATGACCCTGAACCTCTGGGGCCTCCTGCTGCTCCGAGATCCCCCTCAGTTTACCCTAGAACCGCAAGGTACCCAGTTTCCATGGGAGGCCACGATGAGGCACTGCAGGGAGTCTCGATGGTGGAGAGGCTATGCACTGGCAGGGGGAGGCTTATGCAGAGCTGCTCTCATACACCACACACAACACACACACACACACACACACACACACACACATATATATATATATATATATATATATATATATATATAGACATAGACATAAATATATATGTGTGTGTGTGTGTGTGTGTTTCCCGACCCAATAAATTTTCATAAATACAGATGCAGAAATAAAGGCATATCTGCCTACATTTCTGATATATATACATTTAACCATCTATTTGCTGAGTTGATATCAAAGACTATTACGAAAATATGGAAAGCATGGCAAAAGCCTGTGAGCCCTAGCGATTGGTGGATAGTGTAATATCTGAACAATAGATGGCGTTGTTTGCACGATGTATCGTATATTTGTTTACTATTATGAAACTTCACTTACTCAATACGGTAGGAAAGGATTTTTTTTTTTTTTTTTTTTTTTGGGGGGGGGGTTGTTTTTGCATGTTTATGCTTTCTGTTTTAGCTGTAGGCTTGCTTTCCTTAATACTTTCATTGATGATGACTTGGAATCAAATAAAGAACTGTTTTACATGAATGCGTTTTGTTTATCCTTGATTTAATGACAACAAAAAAGAATGAAAAAGATGAAGAATTTATTAATGCCGAATATTGTGCATTTTATTTAATAAAATTGTTTATTTAATAAATTGTAGAGTTTATTGAATCTAAGTTTATTTTCACTGTATTAACACAAAGATATTTTCTGCAATAAAATTGTATAGTATTTAAACAATGGAAAATTTTTATTGGTGTCATGTAAATATGCATACACATGAGATGATTATTAATGTTTTATTGTCATTTTCTGAAAAAGTGCAAAACCTGATTTTGATGTATGAAAAGAAATCTCTAATAAGAAAAAAAGGTTATTAGTGAACAGAATGATTATATAATTCCATGTAAAATTCCAACTGAAACTAAACTTTTAAAACTAAAACAAAATAAAATAAATCTATACAAATTTATAGCCTCCCCTATAAATGTTCTATTTTCTTAGTTACATATCTGAACAATAGATGGCGCTGTAAGAAGTGTTAGGTCGCACATCTTTTTGAACGGTGTGATCCGTGATTACCTATCTTTCGTATATAGTCTTTGGTTGATATTCATGTCTAGACTAATAAATATGCATTTATTTCTTTATATATGTCAAGTATACAAATATTCTTTGGGTCTGGCCTCGTCTAATTCTAACAAACCGGCCGATTCGAGATCTGACAGAGGACGACTGCTGATGAGAGTAGAGAAAGAGACAGAGTACTCTTTCGGAGAGTGCGACCATCTGCACTTGGAAATATGCACATCATAGTTGCTTTTTACTAAGTCAGTCTCTCTCTCTCTTCTCTCTCTTCTCTCTCTCTCTTTCTCTCTCTCTCTCTCTCTCTCTCTCTCTCTCTTCTCTCTCTCTCTCTCTCTCTCTCTCTCTCTCTTCACACACAACACACACACACACACACACACAACCACACACCACACACACACAACACACACAACACACACACACACACACACACACATACACACAACACACACACAATTAAAGTTTTTTTCTTTTCATTTAACTCTGTATATTTTTGTTCATACATTATTGTTCATAACTGAACAATTTTGAGCATTTTTGAATGCGCTCGAAACACCTATTAAAGCTTTATTTTGTTTTATTTTCCTTTATTTATTGATTAAATTTACATATTATGTATTTTTGCAGAACCACCTTTAAATCTATATGTTTAAAGTGAAAAGATAGAACTCCTTTTTCGTCATACTCGAAGTCAATTCCCTCCTCAGTTGTCACCCGTCAACAACATCAGCTGATATTTTCCGTGAGCATTTCTTCCTTGTTAATTCTCTTTTTTAATTGAATTTAAGAGTGCGTCATGTCACACCGTAGCTCCAGCTTTACTGCGAGTGTTATATAGATCGTGACTGTAGTGGTTTTACATGGTGAAGTGTTGAGGCAATGTGTTACATGAAGAAAAATGTGCAGTTTTTTTTTTTTTTTTGTAGAATACAATATCTACAAAGGAAGGACGTTTTTATTGCATTTTTTAAAATCTTGTAGCTTGCTATTTCTTCTATTCTTTTTAGTTGATCAGATTTGATTTACACTCACGGCAGTCTTAAAGCATAAGATTATGTGGTCTATTTTACAACATACATGTTACATATTTATATCAATATTTTCATATTGAGATATATATACTGTCAATCTGACGTTTACGCACACTTTAAAAGCAGGGTCTTAATTTTGGTAGAGGTTGAAGACCGCGACGCGCGTAGATAGAGGAAAATGGACACCGCCATCTTATAGAGCGGGAAAAATAGAAGGGGATAGCGTATAGTTTAAGATGCACCGGCCTTATAGTCACCGCTAAATGACGAAAATATAACGCGCGGTCGCCTTTCAAATTCAAAGTCGATGAGCTTGTTTACCTTGCTAGGAAAAACATGACACTGACCCACGAACGCATTTTTGCGTTCGCGAACTAGTCCGTGTATCATTACGCGCTTGTCAAAACGATATTTGGCTAATTATCTGTGTCTGCTGGTACGCATTTATACCTTTAAAGTCTTTTAGTAATGTTATTATACTTCAATTGCATATTTTTATATTTATCTATACCCTCATATCGAATCCTGCGCATCGAGTGTTTCACACTTTCTTGCGCCAGCCACAGGTTGACAGCTCACCATACCGCTCATTTCGAGATTGAAAGCCGGTGAGAAATGTTGCGTTTCCAATGTTGTGTTGATTCTGGGTTCTTTTTTAAGACCTTTACAGTGGCATCGAAGAATAATTCGACTTCAGTAACCATCCCAGTTTTATATCTGAGCCCATCAAGAGCTCCAAAGGACGAAAAAGGTGATTAAAATCGAAGCAATCCCAACAGTACAAAGAAACGAAAGTTTCACGTTTCCGGATATAAAGGTATTTGGTTTATTTTTACGGTGTGAATGCAGCTCTGTCTTGCCGTACATACCGTGGTGGAGAGAATGTGTCCTGGGGGTGTTGGGGGGCTTGCCCCCCATTCCTCCCCTCGGGCAGTGCCCGAAGGGCACGCCTAGTCACGACAATTTATATTGATATATTAGGTTGGTTGGTTTATTGGTCAATACGTTTTTGGGGGTTGGAACGTGTGAATTCCCGTAGATTTTTTGCTGAAATGTGGGTTGGGTTCCCGTAGATTTTTTTATTTATTTCGGGTCAGTCCGTAAACTTTCAAAGATGGCGGTTACATCCGTAGAGTTTCATTAGCCGATTTTAAACGCTTTTTGTGCTAGTTTTACGCATTTTTGATCGTTATTCTTCTTATTTAAGCTTGTTTTACCCCATAATTTCCCTGATATACTTCATGCCCTCCCCTGCTAACGGGACTATCAAATCAAGATCGTCGATGGAGAAATGGTACTCGATCTCCTGAACGATTCATTCGCAAAAGAAACAACGCCGAAAATCGATGAAATCATAGGATTTCATGCAGAAAAACATCATTTTTTTCGACTTAG